CCCTCACAGAAAGTTATTAAATCAAATAGTTACGAATATGCAGATGACTGATGCATTGTTTTATAATATTTCTAAAATAAGGTTTTGCCTTTTACAAAACCTATTCATGGCAGAATAGTACATGTAAGGAAAATATTACTCAAAGAAAACATATTTTTTCTGATTTTACTGTCTAGCAACAGCACATGTAAAAACTCAGAAGAAGTTCATTTTGACTTTGTTTATATCTCAACATTTAAATTACTCCGAAATTATTCTGAAGAAATCTGTGGAATGCTCCTATAAGGAAATAGTTTGGCAAAAAATCCAAGTCAAGGCATGTTTGGTTTTAAAACTTTACTTCTTTTGTTCAGAACTGGAGCTGTGAGACTAACGCAGCTGACAAACACTATGTCAATAGTCACCCAAATCTTTTTCGTAAATACATTCTCAAAACGTTTCTCAACCAGCTCAAACCGCATCCAGGTCTTCGTTAAGATCATGCAGACATGTGCTTTAGAGCAGGGGTTCTTAACCTTTTCTGTCCCAAGGCCCACCTGTTTATAATTACAAAGCACAGCGGCCCACAAGAAAACTAAAATCAACTTTTTAAATACGATTTTCTTTTTCCGTTCTTAAATGCTGAACCTGAAAACCTGTGAATCAGGGCCTGAACAAGATCAGGTTGTCCATCGTGGCTCAATCACAAGTCCCAAAATTTGCAGTTATGTTAAAAAAAAAGTTTTTTTTTATTTATATATTTGCAGAGATATTAAATAGAATATAATAGACACTGAATATAAAAGTACAAGGTGGATGTGGACTGTGATTTGGAGCTGAAGACCATTGCGTTTTCAATGAAAATACTCCATTGCCTTTGGTCTTGAGATTTCTCTTTAGTTTTGATGGTATTTGTAATTAATTTGAAATAGCCAAACCACAGTCCACCCACTGGGCTTTTGGATTAGCGTCGTCACAATCAACAATGATAATAAACCTTATTTTATATCTGCTTCTATGTCATGTGTTTATCAATTTGAGTTTAACCAACCACGTCACTGATGCAAAAATATGTTCCAATCTATGAGCCAAAATCAAACACATATCTTCACTATTATTTTATTTTAAAGCAGTTCGCTGTGCAAAAATGAGAGCATTAGAGTCTGTAAAGAGTGAGATGTTAGAACAGGCAGATTATGCTAAAAGTACAGCGCCAACGTGCTGCTAGAAGAGGAAAGCAAGCTCTGTTGATGAATCCCCTCATTTCTTCACAGACTGCTTCCCACCAACAGACTGGGGTCATGTGGAAGCGAACCGAGACCCGTGTTTTTCGTCAGACTGGTTCAGCTGTCTGTTGCAGACCCGAATACGGGTGGAGTTTTTACAGACGTAAAAACGGGGCAAACTAAAGAAAAAGTCTGGTAGGTCTTCACCAAACAAGGCAGGTCTGAAAGCACCCTGAGAAACTTCTCCATATCTGGCTCGCTAACTGTCTGCATCTCATGCCCACGGCTGTGTTTCTCAAACTGATGATGTGCAATGTTTTTATTTGTATGTACAATCTACAAGTTAATCTTTTTTCCAGTTATGTTTTAATGACTTAAAGTGATGTTTTTGTGACTTAAAGTCACTCAAAACTACTGCCTCCCCACAGTTCAGGCCCCCCAACGACTAGAGGGTGCTTCATGGCCCACTGGTGGTCTGCGGACCACAGGTTGAGAAACCCTGCTTAAGAGCACACTATGACCTACTGTGAGCTATTAAAATGAAATAAACTTCACTGCTACAGGCAGCCATTTCAAACAAACCAGAAACCAAAGCTCACACAGCTGGACTGATCTTGTATCTGATTCTTGTCAGTCTCAGATTTGAGGATGTATTTTACAGAAAAGATTTGGGTGACTATGGACTTCTAGTCTTTGTTAGCAATGTTAGGCTACAGCTCCAGCTCTAAACTAAAGAAGCAAAATTTGGACTGCAGTGAAGATCTGGGTATGGTTTCAGCAGATTTAGAGAAGTTTTGAGGATGTGTTTTCCAGAAAATATTTGGGTGACTATTGACTTCTAGTGTTTGTTAACAACGTTAGCCTCGCAACTCCAGCTCAAATGTAAAGAAGCAAAATTTGAACTTCGACGAAGATTTGGATGCAGTTTGAATGGGTTGAGAGAAATTCTGAGAATGTATTTATGCAATGGATGTGGGTGACTTTTGACTTCTAGTAATAGCAACGTTAGCCTTGCACCTCCAGTGCTAAACTAAAGAAGCAAAATTTAGACACCAAACATGAATTACATCTGGGGAAAGTAGAAAATTGTGTACATTTGATTTTTTGCCAAATGTTTCCTTTAAGTTTAGCCTTGAAACAACCTAAAATGTCAATTAGGTTTCTTTGTTTTTTTTTTATTCTACTATTAGCTTTAATCTCTGCCTGGAAAAAGGTGGCCATTGTTAAGTGTGTAGGCTGATGTAGGTGACTGAAAGGCCAATTCACTAAATGTTAATGCAATATGGACTCCTTTATTCAGAGTACCAAATATCGACTGAGTGTGATACGTATTCCAAGCACAAGCTGAAATCCACGTCAAATCAAGGTATACAGTGACAACCCTTATCATTCACAAATTTCAGAGCAAGAACAAGGCATACTGCAGGTGTCTCAGAGATATTCTTAGCTCAGCTAAATTTACTTATTCTTAATTTTTTTTTAAAAGCACTAGAAAATTATATACTCTTCTTCCCGCGCTATACAGCAATATGATACTGCCAACTGGATCCAAGAGCGAAGAAATAAAATATCATGGTAAATACAAAATATCTCTTAAAATATTTAAAATATACTTTTATTTTGTACATTATGCGGACTGGTTAACAATTTTAATGATAACAAAAATAAATATTCGGTGAAATGCAGTTTTTCTTTTTGTAAATACACATGGATGGCATGGAGAGCAATGACGGGACAGGCGGTGGGGTGGGGGGGAAGCAAGCCAACACTCATGCACACGCACACACGAAATCTGAAACACGTTCTTGTTGAGCGACATTTAGACAGATGACACTTTTACACATGAGTCTATCCTGGTTCTCACATATTCTACAGCCACCGAGCGTCATGTTGGACAATATTGCTCTAGCTATCATACACTATCACCTTACCGTACCATACAATATCGTGCCGTATGCTATCAAACGTTTGCTGTCTCTGGGACCACTATTAGCAAAATGGTATGCATTGTAATGATATCACATTATGTTTTTTAATGTTTTGTATCTTTTCAAATCATGTCCTATTGACGTTTTCCCTACTTAAAGTCCTAAAAATCTGTACATGTTTATCTGTTTCATCGCAAACACTTGTAAGCATTTATTGCTCTCGGGAGTTACCGAAGGGGTGGGGGGGACAGAGACACCGCGTTGAATTCAGGAATTAATATATGTGTTCATATCTGGACCCTGTTTTTAAAGTCTTTGCCTGAAAAAAAATTCCCCAAACCTGGGTCAATCAATGGCATTTAAGATACTTGACATATCGTACAAACATTCATAAACATTTTGATATGGAACATATCAAACATTGTGTTGGTGGCTCCACATAGGCTTATCATTACTGGTGTGTTCTCAAAAAAAGGCCACTCCGTAGCTCGAATTATCTTTGATTTTAGCAAAATAAAATATCTGATAACCTTCCATTCACAAGGTGCTTCTCATCAAATTCTAAAATGCTCATCCTACCCAGGCTTCTATTTAATCTATAATACATCTACCATTTTAATCACCACAGCATGTACTGTAGCTCTCAGGGACATATGTTACAGTGTGCTGAAAAAGTTCTGGTATTAGGGCACTGTGGATAAAAAAAAGCAATGAGCTTCTTTGATCAATTTGAGTGGTAAAGGAAAACAGTTCTTGAGCCACTGATCTTCACTTGCTACTATAGTTCCAGCTGCCCATCTGAGATGGAGCTCTTGTTTTTGGAATTAAACAGCTCAGGCAATGCTTAAAATAAGAAAGGAATGCAAACAGTCCTGTAAAGTCTGCGAACACTGGTTTCAAATCAAATGAAAACAAAACATGAACATGTAAAAGCGCCGACGGAACATTCATGTCCAAACAGACGAACTGACTTACACTGGACTACGAAGAGACCACAAGTTCCGACAATTGACAAAAGTTCCATGTCAGCAGAAGAGAAGCACTGGGGGAAAGAGGACAGGTGCCGCTACGACTCACTCCCAACTTAACTTTGGAGGGGGAGGACAGGGGAGGAGGCTTCCCAACATGAACAGGCTGACGAGGTCTGGCATTATTTTGTTGTGGGGGTCGTTAACGGAGACAAGTGTCTGAAATGTTTTAGACACAATAAGACATAAGAATGAATTTTACACATGCAGGTTTAGTATTAAAGGGATAATTCAACCAAACAATGCTAATGTGGGTAATAATTAATACAAGCTAAGGTTGCAAGTTTTCATGAAAGGTAAAGAGGAATTTCACTTTTTTTTATATTTGCATAATTAGATATTGAAGATGTAAAAGTCATTCAGAGTGATTTGATGTGAGGAAGTCCATTATGGATAAATTTACTGAGAGAATGGTTCACTGAGGTGGTGATAAGAACCTAATGTCTGAAGAGTTTAATGTGTCTAAAAGCTCCCTCCCAGAAAGTTATTATACAAAATGGTAAAGAAGACACTGCCTGATGACTAAGACATCGTCTAAGATAAAATTTTGGCCTTAAATGTATTTATAAAAAACATTTATGGTGGAGATGAGTCTTGTAAGGCAAAATAGTTCTTTGCTTTTCCCCTACTTTAGCATCATGAACATCACATATACAAACTTATCAGACATGAAGGTTCACTGGTTATGCTGGATAATAAATAAAGTGGCTATATTTGTTGTACACATTACAACCCCTGGTTCATATCACCACTGCAAAGAAATCTGAGTTGGTATGCCGCTCTGCAAAGCACCATTTCACATCAAACCACTCTGAATGACTTTGTTTACACCTCAACATTTGAAATTATGCAGAAATTATGAAAATTTGGTGGAATTCCCATTTAACATTATTTGGCTAAACTATCCCTTTAAAGGGTCTGGCCCATAGGAAAATGGAATATATAGCAGGGCTATATTATAATATAGATTATATTGTAATAAACTTGCGATATATTACATTTCGTGTAGAGAAAACTGGGCCACAGGGAATGCTTGAGTTTTACAGACCCCATCAGACGTTAAGGGATAGAAATAAAACGCACTGTGTGAGGGAGGATGTGGAAGGTAGGAATGGTTGAGACTTGCCTCCTTCTGGCAGTGGAGCAGCAACATTAAGAAATCCAGCAGAGCTGGATCAGAGCGGAGGTGGGGTGGAGTTGATACACAATGCTCTTGTCGGAGAAGGCCATTTTATATGTGTGTGTGTTTGTATTTGAACGCATGTAAGAATGTGCATACATGACGATGAATTCATGTTTGCGTGAGTTTGTTTACATGTTAACGTGTCTGCATATGCATTATGCAATTATTTAGTGCATGAACTGCGTCTGTCAGTGTATGTGCGTATGTGTGTCTTTGTATTTTTGTGTGAGCGGCATATGAAAATGAAGGCATTTAACAGACAGCCAGGTCACAGTGTTGGAAGCTGGCCCTTAGTGGCAATGGATGACTCCTGACCCAGTGACCTTTGACTTCTGGCAATCAGCTATGACTTCTCCACCTCGGTGGGCTCCTGTGACTCTGAAACGCAATAAAAAAGCCATTAATACTTGGGGTGTAGAGCCTTGGGGTGTTGCCTTGCTTACAGTATCGCAGTACATCGAAATATATTGAATAGCAGTCCCTGTACCATGATCCATATTGCCAGGTTCTTGCCAATACACAGCCCTAATTAATACATTCCTTTGAAGTACAGTTGTATGTAAAAGTTTGGGCACCCCTGGTCATTTTATATGTTTTGATTTTCTAAGTCAACACTCAGAGAACAAACCTAAATATGGCATTTTTTGGCAAATTTTAGTGCATAATTTATTTATTCTATTTATTTGAGTTTAACACTGAAAATAATAAAACATAAAACGTAGCAGCCTACATTTTATGTTTTATTATTTCCCCAATTTGTTAAATTCAGCAAATAAACAGTACCTGCATTTAAACGTGTAGAAGTGTGTTCTCTGTAGAGGGTGTGTTAACTTATTTCACTTTGAAAATCAACAAAATGTAACTTGAACATTGGCACCCAGACTTTTGCATACAAATGTACATCCTAAAGGAAAACTTAAAAACCTATATGATTGTTGATTTTGTAATGTGTTAATAGTCTGAAAACATATGAAAACTAGTCAGTAAACCCCTGCAATCCCCTCTCAGAATTTAGGTTGAAATCACAACTGCAAGAGTACTGCTCCCTCTAGTGGTTATCCTGTATCATCACTCAGACAACATTTTAAAGGGGAATTCCACTAATTTTTTTTAACACTTCTTCACAATACGACTATTACTATAACAGAATCATTCAGAGTGTTTTGATGTAAAATGCACCATTCTAGAGAAACTTACTGAGCTAGAATTATTCACAGAACCAGACATTTTAAGTATTAAATGCCTCTAAAACAGTGGTCACTAATCCTTCTCCTGGAGATCTGCTTTTCTGCCAAGTTTATTTCCAACAAGCATCTAACATGCTGCCTCCCACTTATCAAAGCAGTCCTTACGTAAGTGTTGTTATCAGTTCCAGCCAATCAAGAACTTCTGAAGAAGTTAATTAGCTGGAACAGGTTTGTCAGATTATGGCTGGATATAAACTTCCCAGGATGTTTAAGGCAAAATAGTAAACAAACACATGTACAGGTTCACTGGTGGTTTTGGGTAGTGAAAAATTTGGCTTTATTTATGTTGCAGACATTGTGACCTCTGGGTCCTATCACCACCACTGTAAAGAATTCTGAGTCAGTTTCTCTACAATGCACTAATTCACATCAAACCACTCTGAATGACTTGTTTACATGTAAATATTTACATCACAAGGAATTATACAGGAATTTTGAAAAATCAGTGGAATTCTCCTTTTATCCTAAACAATGCATTAATATTAGAAAGAGACTGTATATATCAACCACTTATTTGATTGTGATTCTTCTCTAATAGCAAGTAAATGTGTCTTTGTTTCATTTCAGTTCAAACATTATCCTGTTTAAACATTTGAGATACCAAAACAGGTGCTCAGTGTATAGGTGGGCAATATGATGATATTTATCAATATTGTAATAAATTATGTCACAATATACTTTTCTGAGTAGATTATGGATATCATCAGTCCTCAAAAAAACATATCAGTGTACACAAGTGCACGTTTGATTACAAAAGAGCGTAATTAGACTTGTTAAATTTGACTTATTGCAGTGCAGTGTGTGAACTGTTGAGTATAAATCATACATAGGCTTTAATAGGATTTTTAAAAGGTGGCACTACTTTGTCTTTTCCAATTTGCCATATTGCCCAATTCTACTTCAATACAGGGCTGACTAAGCAATGAATAGACCAGACTATAGACACCTTATACAGCTACTATATAGTGGCACCTAGAAAGACTGTTATAAAACGTTTCTGCCTTGATAGAAATGGTTCCAAAAGTAGCCACAGAATGATTTGTTGCATATGCCATTCTCTCCTTGATGCTTCTCAGATACCAAATCTCAATCCAGCTGAAAATAGCAAGGAAGATGTTAACAGTTGTCAGCCTTTCATCACCAAAACAATCAATTATGGGATGTCTTGTAGAAGAATTGGGTTCCAGAGCAGAGGTCCTAAATCACAGTCCTGAGGATCCCATGTACTACACATTTTTGCATTTTCAATTTTAATCAGCTCTTTATTGGCTTGATAATTACTGGATGAATTTAATCAAGTGTATAAGAGTAAGGGTATGTATGGGTATGTAGTAAGGGAACGTATGATGACTGTAAAAAGCTTGTCACAGGAAATAGGGAAAATTCATCACCACAAGGATGGTGTATGAATTTCCTAGTTAACTCAACAGCAACACTTTCATACCATTTGTATCCCTCAGTCATCCAAGTGTGTCAAGACTTTGGAAAGATCTTACACTACCAATGACTTATGACGATTTTGGCTAATCAGTTTATATGCACTTCATTAGTGCACTAGTCAGAACGTCTGAAAAACACTGACTGAAAGTCACAAGCAAAAAACATTGTTAAACAAAACAATAACCATGTATGACCAATATTATACAGTTTGAAAATGACGTAGGGGTGTGAAAAATACAGTATCAACTATGTTTTCAAAGCCATATTTGTAGGTATCTCAAATAGTTGCTAGAGCTTGTAAAAACTGTACCTGTTGTGATTGGCTGGTTATCTTGTGTTTCACCAGGCTCACTGCTGTCTGTACAGGGCACACTGCTTTCACTCTCCACCTTCTCTGCTGCGTTTGGAAGCTCCTGGGAGGAAGGAAGGGACTGTTCATCATCCCTCCCCACCTCTTCAGCTCTAGTCACAAAGCTCACCCCGTATAGTCCATCCCATGAGTCTGTGCTACGGAGGCTAAGGCGTCTCATGCGAGAGACAGTGTCCACCTCCCTCATTCGGGCAAGTCTCTCCTCTGACCCATGTCCAGGTGGGGCCATAAAACGATCATGCAGGGCTTCAATTCGCTGAGAAAGTCCACGGCCCCGTCTTCCTAAACTTGAGGCCTGCACCTCTTTGACTCCTGGATCTACTTCAGCACCTCGAACTTCTCCCTTATCTGGAGTGTTATGTTTGTCCCCATCTAAGTTTTTGTTAGAAGGAGCACTACTTTGATCTTCACTTTGATCCTGTGTTTGCTTTACGTTCCATTTTGTTGCATCCACACTCTGCTCCTTATCCCCTGTGTCCGTATGTCGCTTACCAATGTCTAAATCCCAGTCTAAGTCATCAGCACCCTGCCTGTCAATTCCACACCCACGCCAACCACCCAGACCCCTCTTTTCACCACTGGTTTGTTGCCTATCGCCATCTAAAGCCCACCTGTCCCCATCTAAGTCCTGCCTTTCAGCATCAAGGGACCGCCTCTCTCTTGCCCAGCCACCCCCACTGTTCCACCTTTCTCCTTCCCAGCCACCTCTCTCCCAATCCGACCCTAAAGATAACCTACGATTTGGATAAGATAACACAGACAGGGGTAGGTGATCAGGAGGAAATTCTGGCAGTAGCCCTGGATCCAGACCTGAATGAGTCCACATTGCAGCCTTGTTAGATCTTAAAGTAACACTAGATTCTTTCTTGGGCTCTCCTGGGTCACCCTCCTCGGTTTGCTCTTGCACCTTTGTGCCTTTAATCATTGGGTCTTCCTGATCAGTCTTTTCTGAATCTATCTGTATATTTTCCTTTGTATTATCACCATCATTCATTATTTCTATAGGCAGCTGACTTTCAGCCCCTTGTGTTGGTTCACTCTCTTGCGTCTCTATTTGTGTATCCCTTTCTTCACAAGTGACAAGGCTGTCTACTTGCACTGTCTTGTTTGCTTGATCTTCTACTAACTCACTGGCAGGAATGCCCTCTGCTCTATCAACCTTGCTCATTTCATCTATGTCATCGGCTGTCCCATGTTTGGACTCTTCCCCTGTGATAAGGGTAGCAATATGCTTCTCAGCTAATGACAGCTGCATCTGCCAGTCAGCTGGTACTTCAGGGTTTGCCTCTAAACCTGTTTTGTCTCCTACTGACTTGCCAGTTGCCATACTACTCAGCATTCCCCTGTTTCCAAGGAATTTGGTACTCTGGCTTGTTACCCGCCTAAAGCCTGAGCTTCTCTCTTCCCTGAATAGAGAGATTGGCTCCTGTCTTACCTGTTTTTCATTATCTAATGCTAAGGAACAGCATGGCTGCTCTGAATCTACTGTAGACACACCAGGCATGGCCACATGCTGTGGGGTGTCAATGCTCATAGCACTACCTGGTTTGGATTTTACAGAAGCCCCTCGGCTGATGGCCCCAGAATCACGGGCCATTTGGAGCGTTTGACATATGTGCTCATAGTCTGGGGGGCTGGTTAGAGTAGAGGCATCTTGCATGGGCTGCCTGTCCGCCCATGGGACCTCAGCTCCCATGGACGAAGTGGAGGAAGTTAGTGCAGCCAAACTGTCATCTTTGACTGGAGTTTCCTTAGAAGTCAGGAGGTCCAACTTCACTGATCTACAGGCTTTGCGGTGAGTTATCTGGGACATTACTGTTTTGTAATCTCTGAAACCTGTGTCTGGTGGAGGAGGTGCAGGACAAATCTCCTCCCTTAGCTGTTTACTGAAGCTAACACTCTTCCCAGTTGATGGTCGGGAAAAGGCACTCTTAACCTCCCTGTATTCTGGGTCACTCCCTGGGACCAGGCTGGGCCGAAGTGTAGTAGCAGAAATTCCCAGGGGTTCACTGGACAGTCTGGCTTTGATGCGGTCAGGGATTTGCATGGAGGAGCGGTTGGTAAGGTTATTGCTGGCAGTGCTGAGCTCCAGGATGTCTTTGTAGGCCTCATTAAGATCTTCAATGCACTGGTCCACAGTAGGACGTTTACTTGCTTGTTCTTGCAATTCTTTATTAATAGACTCCAGCTCCTCAATGGCGTCCCAGGACCGTCGGGTCACTGGCTTCAGCAGGAATTGACCGAAAGCCTCTGGGTTAGGGCCAGCAGATGACTTTGCATTTTCAGCCTGGTCCAAAGGTGGTGACTTGGCTGGGGGCTGTGTTGGGGGTGGTGGTGGAGGCTGAGATGGTGGTTGGTTTGGAGGTGGGGGTGGAGGGTGTGGAGGAGGGTGTAGTGGAGGTCTGTGTGAACCTGTGCTCTTGAAGGTACCTGTCCTTGAAAAGGCGCTGTTGCTGGATGGTTTTAGGCTTTTCTGACCTTTCATGGGATACCCATAGGGAGTACTCGGGTCTGTTGCCCCAGCCGCGCCAGATGCCCCTGTGGTCCCTTTACCGCCCTGTAGGCCCTGTAGGCCCTGTGGGCCCTGTGGCCCCTGTAGCTCCTGGAACTCCAGTAACTCCTGGAACTGCTGGAGCTCCTGGAGCTCCTGGGGCTCCTGTGCCCCCTGTAGATCCTGTAGCCCCTGCAGCACCTGGAGCTCCTGATCCACTTTCTGCAGGGACCTCTGCTTCTGGGACTGCAGGCAAGGTTTGTGCTTCCATTTTATCAGGACCCGGATGTTGAGCACTCTTTGCAAGTTCAGGGCTAGTCTGGGTTTCCTGGTCACGATACTGGTCCCCTGGCCAAGCACCAGAATACCGTCTAAGCTCATCATGGGGATTTGGTTTAATGATCCTAGTACGAGAGTTCCTCCTGCGATGAGCTCTTCTTGTGACTATGCTACTGGACGCACTGCCAAGTGTGAGTGCTTGTAGTTCCAAGTCAGTGGAGGTGGTGGATGTGCTTTTGAGGCTTTGGTTTGGCAGGGAGCCAAGGGTGTTGCTGTTCTCACTGGAGGAGCTTGGTGGAGGAGGTGGAGGAATTGGAGGGGAATCCGGTTCTTTCTCTTCATTGTTGTTTTGATCTCTGGACTTGCCACTAGACTGTGAAAGGGGGACAGACACCAAGCAGAAAATAGTCTCACTTAATTTCTTTTTCACACTCTTTTTCTCAGGCTCCTGGGTCGGTTCTGTTTTTGCTGTGGAAACACTCTCTGAGGAACCTTTGTCCATGGATTTGTCTGCCTTTGTCTGTTTCTCAGAGACTTTTTCAGTTTTTATCTGCTCCATACTTAGATCTGCTTTTGTCTGTTTCTCTGACTTAATCAGCTTTTCAGTTAATTTATCTGATTTACTCTGTTTTTCTGCCATTTTGTCTGCTTTTAATTTTTCTGGAATTCTGTCTACTTTCACTTGCTTGTCTGGCACTCTATCTACTTTACTTGGCTTATCTAAAATCCTGTCAGCTTTGAGTGGCTTGTCTGGAATTCTTTCAGCTTTCACATCCATTTTAGTTTGTTTTTCAGAGTATCTTTCTGTTTTAACCTGGTCTGGAATCCTATCTATTTTAGTTTGTTCTGGCATTCTGTCTGTTTTAATCTGCTTGTCTGTAAATCTGTCTGGCTTAACTTCTGTAAGTCTTTCAACTTTGACTTGGTCTGCAACTCTGTCTGGCTTCACTTGGTCTGTGATTTTGTCTACTTTGCCCTGTTCTGCAGCTCTGTCCACTTTAACCTGTTCTGTTACCCTCTCTACCTTGACTTGACCCTGGTCTGGAATTCTGTCTACCCTAACCGGCTGGTCTGCACTTCTGTCAACTTTGATGACTGGTTGTGAGGGCCTGGTCTGAAAGGTTGTGGGGAACTTGGAAAAGCTCTGGTCTGGTGCTACACTTTCGCTGCCTTTGTTCAACCCCCTGTGCCATCGACTAGCATTCTCATGTTCACTGAGAGCTGGTTTGTGAGTGTCCGTGCTCGGCCCCTGGGTAGGGAGGAAGGCACTATCATGTGTGGATTGTCCTAAAGCTGCAGCGCAGGGAAGCTCTTTGTTGACGTGACGGATCTTGTCTGCGTCTGTGAGTGAGTTTCCACTTGGCCCCCCTGAGATGTGCCTGATGCGTGGGTCATCAAACGGGACATACTGCACGTGCCCTGGCCGATTTGGTACAACAGGTCCTGGATGCACTGGCCTTCTGGGGACTACTGCCATGCTCCTGTCTTCCCGGCGTTCTGACCATGACAATCCGGCTGTTCTAGAAAACCACTCCCCCATCTCGGCACTTACTGGTTCTCGTTTCCATCGGACAAGGGCAGAGTCAGCACGGAAAATCTGTCCACCCCTGGGAGGCGGAAATCTTCTGTAAGAGGGGGGTGGGATGTATCCAGGGGGCTCCATACCAGTCAATTCCTGATAAAGCAAATCTGCCCTATATGCCTCTGGTCTCAGTAGCTCTGCACTTTGTGAGTAACAGATGGACCTGTCTCTGAGTAGTTCTGAGCTCTGAGAATAACAAAGTGATCTGTCCCTTAACAGATCGGCACTGTGAGAGTGGGTTATAAAGCGGTCTCTTAACAAGTCTGCACTTTGCGAGTGACTGATAAATCGATCTCGTAGTGGTTCAGCACTTTGAGAGTGGCTCACCATGCGGTCTCTTAGAGGCTCTGCACTCTGTGAAAAACAAATGGACCGATCTCTTAAGGGTTCTGCACTCTGAGAATAACATCCAGACCTGTCTCTTAATGGTTCAAAGCTCTGAGAATAACAAACCGACCGATCTCTAGGTTTGGAAACTGGTTCAGAGGAGAGTGTTTCCCAGCTCCCCCTGTTCTGCTGGTGAGTCTCATAAGATGGGGGCTTTACAGGGCGACTGAATCGTGGCTTTGGCACAAGTGCAACAGGACCTTGACCATGAGACTGACCACTCCACCGCTCCCCCATTGGCCATTCACTATGATAACGACCATATGGCACAGAGCTGTTGTTTCTCTGAGTAGGGGCCTGGCTTGTGGCACCTGCTTGGGGAAGTTCTCTGTATTGTGGATCTTCTGGAGAGAGAACACGGGGCAGTGACTGAGACTTCATCCTGACCGTAGCAGGTACATTACTTTCTGCAGGCCGCAGACGGTGCTGCTGTTCCTGAGACCAGCGTTCAGCCTCCCCATCAGACAACTGCCGACCCAGACCCACCGCAGGGCGCCACTCCTCTGTGCCTAGGCTCTGGCATTTCCTCTCCCCAGTTACCCGCAGAGTCTCTGGGCCTGAGTCTATGGGCTCTCGCATCCATGACCCTTCCTCCCATCGTGCCAATGGCCTTTCAGCCCTCAGTTCCTCTGCAGCCAGCACTGGGCCTCTCCATAGCCCTCCAGACACACGCAGCTCCCTAGGATCACCGTAATCCAACAGGGCACTGAAGTCCTGCCCTCTCCTTCTCCAGTAGGAGATATCTCGTTCTTCTGTATGTTCAGAAAATGTCAGGCTGGGGGCATCATAAAACCTGCATACAAAAATAGTTTAAAAGATTTTTGAAGTACAGCAATAACCACAACTCATGTTTCTAGCCATACAAATTTTTCAGTTTCAATTACTCAACATCAGTGGTTCCTAAACCTGGTATGCTAAGACCAGGTTTAGGAACCACTGATTCACACTCAGTGTTTTCACTGCCCTAACATACTCTTCAACAGCTGACTAGTTGTATCAAGGATGTTAGAGCAGCAAATATATAAAAAATAAATCAGGCGTGCTCCAGGACTAGGACTGGGAACCAGTACTCTATATTTAGGAGCAGATATGGCTTCCACATTACATATATGTTCTTTATCTTAGCTGACCACAAATTAATACACTGGCAAGTTTTGTTCATTCAAGCTGGTTGCGAAATGAGCAATAAAAGTAATACAAGTTTGGTGCCATACAATTTACCCTGGCACACAAATACAATTTTATGGATACACAACTTTTCTGTTGAGCATGTAATAATGTAATGACACAATGTAGCAGAAAGAAAGAATACACTGCTCTATTCAGAAATTACAAAAAGTATAGTTTTGTTGATGGAGCCAAGGTTGTGCTGTGCATACAGAGATAAAAAATGCAATCTGACTGACACTGTTAACATCCGAACATACAAACATGATACCTTACATTCTACAATGTATAGAAAATGGCATGAAACCACTTTTTCTTTTCTGATACCATCAGTGAAGCCTTGAATCGCAGCCAATACTGTTCCAAAATTTGACTTTAAAAAATACTGACTTTAATTTTTTTTTTTTTATTGAAGCACTTAATATGAGCATTTAAAGCAGGCTGTCACGATCATCAAACAGAAATACACAGCTAACAACATCACATCACACAGAATGAGCAAGCTAATTTCAGGATATGTTTGTTACAGGATCGGATCAGAATTATTCTTTTTACTTTTTACTTTTTATTCTTTTTATCCCATCCAGCATTTTCTGTTGATATCGGCTCAATGGAGACTGATACCAATATGCCATATCTAGTGCACAATATTTCTCTGAAATACCACAGAAAAAGCAGCAGCTAACTGTAAATTATTTTGTTAAATTGATTTAATGAGTAGCAGAAGTGAAGTAAGGGGAAATAGATGCTTTGCATTCAAGTAGAAAAACATGGGGCTCTATTTTTGTGCATTCACAAGCTTCGTATAGTGGTTTAATAGTGGAATATTGCTAATTTAGTTGGGCACAAATACATTTTTTCTTCCTTGTTGTTCAGTTGTTTTTTTGGTGTCCAGAAAAGATAGCACCTGGCATGGGTGCAACAAGGGGTGTGCCATCGTAAAGCCGCCAGTGCAGTGCTATTTTCACACCCCTTTTAGTCCAAACTTATGCTTGCATTAGAGCCTCCCAGGACCCACTCTTGGCACAAGGGACAAAAAATATTACCTAACTTCAAGTACAGGTGCAAAGTTCTGTTTCAGTTCTTACAATTTGTGTATGTAGACTATATAAACTTTATCTTCAGTATAAATAGGCAAATTTATCCAAATACTAGCTAAATATGACTAGAATATTTTAACAAAAGACAAACAATTTTGTTGTGGCTACTAAATCAGACACTTGATGTAGCATTACACAAGAGTAATCATACAGACCTAATATTGTAATTATTATTAAGAATAAATACATAATTACTGGCTAAAGTTGTGTATCTTATCGTATTTTGTCACCGTTTTACAAAAGCAATATGCCACGAGGAGCTGTGCATTAGACTCCTTTTACCATAGTTAAGTGGCTAACAACACCCCTTAACCAAATCACTCATGGTTTACAGGTTTAAAAGACTCCACAAATTTACTGGCATCATAGAGACAAGGCATTAGCCAATATTAACACTCACTACCGAGTGAACATTCACTAGGAAAATGACTCACAAGCACATAAGAAGACAGACAATGACATTGTTGAGTTATATCAGTCAACTGGTTATTTAGACTACAAAAATACTGATGTGAAATTTATAAGATGATCAAATCTTTTCTGCTCTTTACAGGACTACAGGCTACATATAGGCAAGACATTAGAGCCCAACAGAGTGCACACAGTTCTCAAAGGGAACAAGAGGAGTTGATTTGACTGATATTGTTGCAGAAAGCCTTACCATGCATTGAATTTTACAGTTATGCCACTTTATGCCAAACTTTTACAAATTGCAAATTCACAGGAGGAAATCCTATTTTAACTTAAAAAATATCGCTTATCTCAAATTAGGAAATCCTAAACTACTCAGTCTAGGTTGATTTACAATTGTCATGTCTGTTATCAACCAACGGCATGCACGCAATCTAATCAAAATAATGAAATACAAATGCAATTCATAGTTATAAGACAACCTAAAAAAATAACTCTTACAACTGAAATCCCATTTTTGCAGTGTGAATAATTGGTAATTCATGATAGTTAATACTAGTAAAAAAGAATCTGCCAAAATTTTTCCACGGGTGGCAGAGAGTTTTGACAGGGTGGCAGTGTTATTATGCGACCCCGGAGTTGTTGGAGCGTTGTTCTTCTAGCTCTCCTCTCAAAGGCATAAACACCCACCCCACAGTGAGGTGAAAGCCAATGATGTGGCAGAAATTTTGGGAGTGGCATCTGGGGTGGCCAATCAGATTTTAGGGAAGATACTGGCCACTCCGGCCGCCCTTTTAAAACCGTGCATGCTATCTGCCACACCTACACATGCCAGCACTGTAGATTTTATGCCTTATTTTTGTGTTTGCACAAAAATATGGACTTTTTTTATAGGAAAACACTCATTATCGACAGACACAAACACAAATGCTGGCCTGAAGCAATTTGGCCAGTCATTTCACACGTAAGAGAGAAAGAGATTTTGTAACACTGCCTGTCACAAATCTCATAGCCAATATCTTATTTTTTAAGCCTTCAGAAAATGCCTGATGATTTCTGCGAACTAAAAGGTACAAGTCTTAAAATTACTAAAGTAATTTTTAGTTCATTTGTGCTTAATAGAATCATTTTACTTGTTGTACTTAAATTCTGCAAGTACTGGAGTAATACTTTCATTGTTTCAAGTTATGTTTGGAAACTAAATGGTTAAAACCTTTAAAAGCCCGATGCAAAATTGTCCAATCAGGATTTTTATTGGTGTGGTATCTAGGTAGATACAGTCAAGTGAGCTCTCTCATTGGCTGGTACAAGTAAAATTAACCAACAGAATTATGAAGTGACAGAGGAATCAACCAATCACATTTTGATTCTCAATGAGTAGGACCAATTTAGTGATACAATACATTATCTAGTCGTTCTGGAAATTCTAGATACGTTGTTGACTGTGAATATGAGCCATTAACTTGGTTTCAGTCAGTTGTTACAAACAGAAAACAGCAGTGGCAGCAAGCTTTAAATGTCTGTGTTTTCTAGAAGAGGCAAAAATGTTCACGTGTACCAGCATTAGCCTATTGCGAACACAATTTATGTTGGCAGTAAAAATGTTTTTGCAAGTAAAAACACTATATAACATTAGAATAATTGCAAATAAACATTTAAAAAGTTAAAAAGACTGTTAGATGAGCACTTTGCAGCCATTGCATGGATTTTTTTAATTCCAACAGCAGCACACCTAATTTAATTAATGAAGGACTCATCAGGTAAAGTAGGTACTGGTCCATGATGGGTGGAATTCTGCTCTACTGTTTTGAAATGGAATGATCCCACTGCTGTTCATCATTACTGCATACATAGCATGACCCACTCACCCACTGTCAGTAGCCAGTGAGTCTCCCAGAGGCTGCAGGTCACCAAGGAAACCAACAGGAACTTCCAGCCTCCTCTGGATTCGTTCATGTCCCCTCATTAATGTTATTGTTGTTTTCGGGGTATGCTTTTACAGTCTGAGCTGGCCTGTATGCCCCCGTCCCTGTTTCTGTCCGCCCGTCTGCTCCGCCCTCTGCTGTCCCAAAACCGTTCAGGGCCCCACCCCCTCCACCACCAGCAGGACGGTTCTCCACGTTGTCACGCCGACACTCGTTGTTGCGATTGTCGTAAGGCGCAGATGAGGAGGATGCGGGGCCACTCCTGGGCAGTTTGTATCCATGAGAGATCAGCAGGTCCTCCACGCTGTACATCGTGCGTGCTTGTGTCTGCGTGTGTATGAAGGTGTACCTGAAGGGGGTGTGTTACAGGAGTGTGTGTCTGTATGTGTGAGTGTGTATGTGAGAGTGTGTGTGTGGCCTAGGAGCGGTGCTGGTGAAGGCAGGAACTCAGCTGCTCAGCAGAGGCCATCACTGAAGACAGAGAGAGAAATAGAGAATAATTTTACACTTTAATAGAACAGACAACTGGTTCTGAGTATTCTAACTGTCAGTGGAAGACGTAGTTCAAACTAAGGATGCACTGAAATTTCAGCTGCAGGAAATTTTTAACTGAAAATGGTTTGGCTAAAAGTGAAAAAAGTCAAAATTGTTGGCACAAAAAAAAAAAACCCAAAAGATTAAATAGGTCTACAATGAACTGTCGATTCAAATGAGAAACTGATTAAAAACGCTGTTTGTTTCCTTCATTCTACTGGACTGGTCAGCATAGATGCGATCAGTTTGAGCAGCAGATCAACAGTGAAACACACAGACATGATTCACTGCAGCTGTGTTTTTTTACACTCTGCACCTTACATGCTTTTGCTTTTTAGCATTAACTGATTTAATGAAATTCATTAATGGGCATAAATAATACTAAGTAACTCAATATCTATTGGCAGTAAATTTTTTTACCTCTCTTTTTTTTGAAAGTTGTTACTGCAAACACATGCGTTCATTAGATCCTGCTAAGGTTTATGGCTTTACATATTAAAATATGAGGCGCTTTTTATCATTATATCGAAGCTGCTGTGCAATGTGATGCGTTTGGGAAACCATAGGTATTATATTTGCATAATTTTATAACTTTTATTAGTTAAAGAGGAATTCCACCAATTTCTCAAATTTTAAATAATTCAGCTGCTAAGATATAAACGAAGTCAATCAGAGTGTTTTGATGTGAAATGCTCCATTCTAGAGGAACTTACAGACTCAGATTTCTTTACAGTGGTGGTGACAGGAACCAGGAGTCACAATGTGTACACAAACAGAACCATTTTATTTACTATCCACAACCACCAGTAAACCAAAACGTCTTCTGAGTTTTCATATGTAATGTGGATAATGGTAAAATAGTGTTAAATCTAAAATTATTTGGTACTGTTTTGCCCCGCAACGCCCTGCATGTACCTCTCCGCCATGATTGTATTTAATGAAATATGTTTAGTCCACAAGCTAATCTCAAAACTTTCAGAAAACAATGTCTCAGACATCACACAAAATATTTGTAGCCATTTCATGTAGTAACTTTCTGTGAGGGAGCTTTCAGGAGCTTTAAACACTTCAGGCATCTGGTTTCTGTCTCCACCACTGTGAACAGTTCTGACTCGGTAAGTTTCCCTTGAATGGAGCATCTCACATCAAACCACTTTAGATGACTTTGTTTACATCGTAACTATTTAATTATGCACACATTTTCAGAAATAAGAAATCTCTTGTTATGTTCTTGTCATTGTTAGGAACCATCCCAATAAAACAATTTAAAGGGATGTTTTTGCAAATAAACCATATGCTCAACAGTTTGATAATATTTATACAGGTGCTGTTGACTACATTACATTACAATAAATGTGCTGTTAACTGGCAAAGCAAGTTTTTGCCATTTCTCAGGTGGAAACTGTCCACAAACAGAAACTGATAACAAGTAAATAACAATAGCCTACATGCTGGGATTTATGTCAGTGTTGCAGCTTCTCTCTAGACAAATAGGATGTGCTCATTACACCTGTTAAATAATGGTTCTTCCATTTCAAAAGCCTGAGGGTTAAGGGTGTGACACAGTACCATTCAGAAGTTTGGAATCAATATTTTCAATAATCTAAAACTAGAAAAGTGTATAAAAATTATTTTTAAATGTTAATTATGTGCAACTTCACAGATTTCAATAATGAATAGGACACAAGGAAGCTGTAAGTAAAAAAAGAAGAGTCGTTTTAGGTGTGTTCAGAATGAAGAATTATAATAAAATTAATATCCATAATTTAGTTTATTTCTAAAGGCAGATAGCTTGAAAAAAATGTGAATAATTACAGTATGTTATTTAACATTTAATAATGTCTTGCTCACAAAATTCTTGAAATATTGCATAAAACCTCTAAATTTAGTATTTGGTGCTTAGTTTGTAATGTTTAAATCCACATTGTATACGTTATTATTGAATACAAACTAACAAAAATCGTTAATATGGCCAATTATTCCAAACTTTTGAATGGTAGCATAACTAGAAATAAGAAAAGTTCAGATGTTGCAGACTAAACATTACACAGAAAAATTAAAAGGCACAAAACACTCTGGACAGGCCACCAGTCCATCACAGGGCAGACAAACAGACATATACATTCACATCTAGGGGCAGTTTAACATCTCTAATTGGCCTGTCTTTGGACTGTGGAAGGAAGCCCACACAGACACAGGAAGAACATGCAAACTCCACACAGAAAGGACCCTGGTTGCCTGGCCGAGGAATCACTGCTGTGAGGCGAAAGCACAACCCACTGCACCACTCATTTATAACCATATAGAACTAAATGTTATATTTCTCTGTAATGCTAATCCAGATGGATCTATTCCCAATTTCTATGTTATAAATGTTAACGTCATGACAACGGCAGACGTACATGAAAAATATCAAATATCAGTTTCAGTATAAAATTCCCATTTCAGTGCATGCCTACAAAATACATCTGGCATGTCAGAAATCCCGCATTCCCACACTCGTTCAGAAAAACGCTCAAACAACAGCACATATTTATGAAATTTTGCAGAGTAAAAATGTTAATCTGGGGTCAGTTTATGTCTTTTACAAGCACTGAATAGGCTATGGACTGATAGACTAATAAGGTCGGATCTTAGATCAGCATTCTTACTTTGATAAGCTTAATAATGTGGGCCATGCTTGGGTTTGATAACTTTCTCTTTAAAAGTCTAAGTCAAGGTTGCCCCGTTACTCTTGGCATTGAAATGATAAACTGATAAACTACTTAGTGATATATTAAACATTATTAAAAACTGATGGGTGACATCATCCATTTCTTATGGCCAGTACTGAACTGTTAAATGCTGAAAAGGCATAAAGATACATGGAAAAGAAAATGCCCATGTAGCCAACATTTTCAGTAGGCTTTAGTAGCTGCTAAACACTGGGCGTCAGTTCCAGAGCTGCATTGCCTGCCGCTGCTGGGTTAAACTGCAGGAGTTTGCTCTAGCTGAGTTTCCATGGTTACCTACAATAACACAACAACACCCTAATCCTGTGTTTGTTCAAGTTGTAACCTTCGAGCCTGGCAACGACCTCAACGTGACCTTGAACTTGGCCGAGACGATGCTAATGACAATGACCTTGCCTGGCACCCTGCAAATACTTTTCATTTGCATGTGTGTTTACTTGTGTCCTTTTCTCTCCTCGCTGAATATATTCCTTTATTTTTCCACAGCTATTCTCCGAGATGATTTGATGACTGCTATGCAGTGAGGCTGAAATTGCAGCGTAGGGTGAAATACCGGAAGCTATGCTGGGGGCTTCAGCTGAGACTTACATTAACTAAGCAGGAACCAGCATAATGTCTCTGCACATTGCAGTCCTCCAACACGCGCACACACACAAGCATGCGCACACGCCCTCTGTATGACCTCTGCACAGACTCTCATTCTGTTTGTGATTTCTTCTCAAAGCCAGATGTTCATATCTCAAAATAGTGTGTGGCTCATAGTCCAGAACACTGCAACCAGGCTAACACATGAAGCAAATTTAAAATGAACATGCACTGTTTGTGAGACAGTGTCTCTTTGGAATGGATTACTTTAAGCATTACTTTTAATAAACATTAATGAGACTGTAAGTAAGGCTGTGAGAAAAACAACACTGTAGTGACTACAACCACAATTACATTAATGGTAATTCAAATTGCAGCTACAACTACAGGCATACACAAGTGATGTAAATAGGGATGTGCATGGGTAAGCGCTCAGGTTAACCGTTTATGGTGCCAGTCTTCAAATTCTGAAATCACTAACTGGGTAATCGCAGCATTTCATCACAGAAAGACGGAGAACACATACAGAACAGCAATTCAGTAAAACAGTGCATTTATGGTCAAACGTGAGAGAGTTGCTCATATTTAAACTAACTTTTGCATTGACAAGAACTCTGAGAAGGCAGGGACAGCGCGTTTTTTTTATCACGACATAGGCTAGGCTGATGTTAGCTAACATAGGTCCAAAAAAACAGTTCAAATATATTTCTTTGATAAATTTACATGTTGGGACATCATCTGATAAAGATGACCTTAATAAAATCACCTGTAGAAGTCACCATCAGCATGCAGTTGTACCAGTAGGGGTAGGCAATATGGCAGAAATGTTATATCACGATACTTCAGGACATCCTTACGATACACAATATGCTGATGTCAGTTTATCTTAGTTTTCCTGAGATTTAATTAGTTGGAACAGACAAAATAGAACCTGTAGCGCCACGCATACAAAATACTATATATATTTTATATTATAATTTATCATATTAACTATAAGCCTACTTATACAACTACAATGATTCTTATTCAAGGTTTACAAACTGCACTGCACTAAATCCTCTTTACGCCTAATTACGCTCTCTTTGTAAAGAAAAGTGTAGTTAGTCAGTGTTCTTTAAATATTGACGGTATCTACAAAAGGCGTATTGTGACATAATTTGTTACGATAATGATAAAATACCATCATATTGCCCACCCCTCAGCTATTTTAAATAATAAAACATGCACCAGTAAAGAAAGGCCATAGTTCTTCATTAGTTACAGCTGAAATCTGATTTTTTTTTCCCTTTTTGCCATTTTTTCATCACATTTCAACAGATATACATTCATTAATCCTTACAGAAACTCGGTTATCAAAATTAGTCAGAATTATAATAGAAGTAGTTAGCTAAGCATTTGCAAAAAGTGGTTCAAATCCACACACATAATCCTGCCAGGCATGTGCAAATGTTCATTTATAAGGTATCAAAACAATATTCTTATCGT